CTGTCATACACTATATGACCTTAACAGAGCTCAATATTATATGCATCACTGATCTTTGGGACACTAAGGAGTTTTAAATTTTTGCCAAAAGGCAAGGGCATCAAAGATAAGATATTGAGAAATCACGATTACCACAGAAGAGTATTTAACAGATCCTGAGAAGACATTCTAAAATGCTCTCAACACTAGAGCAGTGACTTGGATTTACCTGGATTGTTTTCCTTCTTAAAGGAATTGCATCAGATTTAGGGACAGGCTAATCAGCAAAGTCTTTGTTCTTTATTATAGTAAGAAATTAATGAGACCCACCCTCTTAACACTTTTTTTAAGTGTACAAAACAGTGTTGTTAACTATGGGCACAAGGTCATGGGCAGAGCTCTAAAATCTAATCATCTAGCATAACTGCAACTTTCTACCCACTGGATAGTTACTCCTTATCACCCCCCCCCCAGCAAGGCTTGAACCAGGGTTCTTACCTCTCACCCCCCTCCCCAAGGCCCTTGGCCAACCCAGTTTTGGATTAAACACAAAGTCATTTGTGGGGGATGTAAAACAGCTCTGAATTGCTCTGATGATGGCACATCAGAACCAGTGACTAAGGATGAGACTGCAGAAGACTGGTGATCCTCAGCTTTTTTGTTAAAAAAAAAAAAAAAAAGAATCAGTTGTTAACATTTGCAAATATTTCATACAGAAATCTGTAGTTTCTCTAGGAAGACCAGATTTAGCAAAATGTCCACTTGAATAGTATGTCCCCATTCCCGGGACACCTGGGTGGCTCAGTTAAGCGTCCAACTCTTGATTTCAGCTCAGGTCACGATCTCATGGTTTGTGAGTTTGAGCCCCACATCGGGCTCTGCGCTGATAGCACGGAGCTTGCTTGGGATTCTCTCTTTCCCGCTCTCTGTGCCCCTCCCTTGCTCTCACTTTCTCTCTCAAAATAAATAAACACTTGGGGCACCCCAGTGGCTCAGTCACTTAAGCGTCTGCCTTCAGCTTAGGTCATGATCTCAGTTTGAGTTCGAGCTCTGCAATGGGCTCTTTGCTGTTCTTGCAGAGCCTGTTTTCAGATCCTCTGTCTCTCTCTCTCTCCCTCTCAAAATAATAATAAACAAACACTTAAATATGTCCCTATTCCCAAATTAACCCTAAATATCTTCGTCTCAGTAGACTAAGGAAACATAAGTGTGGGGAGAAGCAGGAAGAACAACCTAGAGAAGCACCGGGGTGAGTGCAGGGATGTTAGTGGGGGCCCCTCTGAAACTGACAGCAGTTAAGAGAACACGAAGGTGTTCCGGCCTGCAGAGAAATCCCTTGCTCCAAATGTGTATAATTTATGGCCCAAACTGCTACACATGGACCACAGCTCACCATGCGGAGTAACACAACTGGCCACACGCTGCCATACACGTAACTACACCCAGGCCGTCTCCTTCCATCCCTGCCTCCCGCAGCCAGCGCTGGTGGACAGGCGCGCCCTGGGGCTGCTAGGCCGAGAGGGTGCAACTGGTGACGCATGAGTGGGTGACACATGAGCCGGACGATACGCGGGGAGGAGCGCTAAGGGTTTGCCAACTTACTCTTGAGTTTCACAAATAGGGTTTTCATTAGTGGTCTTCAACGTCCTTTGAAAGCCTGTACAGTTCTTACCTTCCAGGGTCGTTGTGAGAAGTAAATAAAATAATGCGTAACGAGGGGGGCCAGGGAGGCTCAGTCGGTTGAGCATCTGACTCTTGATTTCGGCTCAGGTCATGATACCAAAATTGTGGGATCGAGCCCTGCGTCAGGCTCCATACCGAGCATGAGACCTGCTTGGGCTTCTCTCTCTCTCTCCGCCCCTCTCCCCCACTCGCACGCTCTAAAAAAAAAAATTTAAAAATGCATAAATAGAAAGCACTGGAGATGGGCCTTGGCCTCCATCTAAATACTCCAATGTCATTTTCTACCAAACCGTAAGTTCCAGGCTTGTGAGGGGGCGCCTCACGCACAAAGGGCACTCACCCGTCTGTTGAACAATGGCCGTGCTAAGGCGATGGGAAACGACTCTCTGAGTGACTTTTCAAAACGGCTTTCACAGGGAAGTGGGTGTAGGTCTTAAAATACACTTGATCTTGTAATACATCAAGTAAGAGGCATCTCTAAGTACTTTTCAAAGACAAGAAGCACTCACGTACAGTCTTCTCCGCAGTAAGAAATTATGACAACTGAGTGGAGATTAAACACTTTAATCAACTATAATAAATCAATAATGATATATTTTATAAAATTCTGATTCATGCATCAGATTACATAAATTATACAACTGTCACATTATGCAATGCTTACAGACTTTTGAGTTTGTACCTGCAAAAAAGAAATGGATACAAGTTACCAGAGCTTTTTACTTAAGTGTAATACTCTTCAGTTATAAATAATGCTTTTTATCGTTCAAATACCTGCTAAATATATACACTTACAGATCTGCAGCATTTTTTGTACCTCAAAATACAAACCACCTGGAAGCTTCGAAGATTAATAGGTCCAAGGTCCATTTTTTTTACAGCCTTCAATTCCATTGTAAGAGTGGAAAATGTCGACATAGGAAATACACGAAATAAAATGTCAACTCTAGTTTAATGCTCGAAAGCTTCTACACTTATTAAATACATCAGAAAACCCTTCATAGGCAGATTAATTAGTTAAGGTGCTACCTATTGCATATTAAATACTTCCAATGATTGCATCTGGAGGATTCAAGTTCTGAATCTGTGAAAATGGGGGCTTTCGATGTGCGCTGACAGACCCTTACATCTCCATGAACCAGCGGCATCGCGGCCCTTCCCCTCCTACTTCAAAGAGATCAAGTGAATGAGCATGCTTTGTACTTCACTTACACATGTACGCACGCGCGCGCGCACACACACGCACACACGTGAAAACTAGCACATCTATAAGACACATGAGTACATGGGCGGCAAGAAGTTTCCACTCCATTTACACTCTAAGGTAGGATGCTTCTCCTAAAAAGCTACAGAGGCAAATAAAAGCTCCAGCGTAACAATTACTAGATACATTGAAAACAACAGTTCTTGTGTTTCGGTTTTAAGATCCTCCTTGAAAAAGAATAAGCACCCTGATGGGGGTGGGAGGCAGGAGGGAGGCCAGGGCAGAGGAGAAGGTGAAGGACGGAGGTGAGGAAAGCCAGTCTGTCACTAATGAGCTGGGTTTTATTTACTTAGGTGTCCATTCATGAAATCCTTGTCAGTACGAGGCAACATCTTCACAGCGGGAAAATTACAACGAAATCTTCATTTACTGCCCAAAGCAACAGACGTCGTTGTGCATAGTTTATGGATAACATGACGTTCACGGGGGGAGGGCAAAACTAGGCTCAGGGCAGAATGCAGCAGCACAAAGCAATATCCAAACGTGTTTCGTGAATGGGTGACACGTCACTTTATGTACATTTCTAAGGTATGACCCTGGTATTCAGAAAATGAAGCCTGAAGCACTGAGTGGTAGGAGGAACAAGAATGTTCAACTTTCAAAGCCACATTTTGGGAACCGGAAGGGAACTAACTGTAAAACACTGCTTTGAAACTAATAGCAGAAATACTTTTATCAGTAACAGAAGTATGTTCGCCTAAGACAGGTTTGGGATAAACCCCCATCCTGGGGTTTTCAAAACATTCTCTCACGGGGGGGGGGGGGGGGGGAAGATGTTCTCCCACATGCAGTTTTCAGCATCAAAGCAAAAGTAAATGTTTATAAAGTCTATTGTGCTGTGCGCATTATTTAATGAGCACAAGTACTGTACTTCTGTTTCTAAGCTACTAATAAAACGTACCATTAGAATACTGAAAAGTTACATATTGGAGAAATTAACTAACGGTGATCTTCATGACCTTTTCCTTACAATGCTAGAAACCACAACTGCTCTGGGTGCACTTCTGTTCAAACACGGGAAAGGCTCAAGTTTTACTCAGAAACTCATTGTTACTTTTTGCCTTTAGTGTATTGTAGGGACGGATGATGAAAATATACAGTAAGTGGAGCTCTGGGTCACGAGTGGAAGGTCATAAACACTGGGACATTTTCAGGCAGTGACAAGGGCGATTCGTTTTCAATACAAGTCCTGTATTGAAAAGATTTAAAAGTAAAAATATTGATTCAGTTGTAACCAAATCATTCACGTCTGATAGATCTAACCCTTGACAGTTTCATATTGGCAAAGAATCTCTTTAAAAGTGAATTTCCTCATAAAAAGAACAGCAGTATTTGGGTAATACTTTTTAATGAACTCGATTTACATAAAACATATGCCCAATACGAAACTGACATCTTTTGGCCAAAGCATATTGAAATATCTGCCGATAACCTATCACAATACTGAAAACGCACGGATTTTAGTATTTTAAAAAGTATAAGAAGAGCTTCAGTTATACTAACATCAGGAAAAAACGCTAAGAGTTTTGTCACATTTAATAAAACGTTAACTGAAAGTGGCACCGTATTAAAAAAATAATAACTAAGACCTCAAATGGGAAAATAAAATAATAAACCAGATTTTGAGGTTTATTACACAAATGTATGGGGAGGAGGAGAAGGTTGGTAGCAGTTATTTTTCCTTCTCCATTTCTTCATTTAAAAAGTTATTTAATTTTTGAAAAAAGGAAAGAAATTTTTAACTTTTTGTATGTAGGAAAAGTTCTCAGAATTTCAAAATGTATGTTCTCATCGGAAAACTAAAGAAACTCAGAAACACAAATGAGCAATTTCAGCTCATGAATATAAGCCTGGCCCAGTATTATCTGATTCAGAATATTAAAATGAGCCAAACTATTCTATCTGCTTTGCACTGAACTGTCAATGAAGTCTTCACAGACATAAATATTAGACAAAAAAATGCAATTCATTAAAAGACTAGAGAATATATGTCCCCATTTGCAGGTGAATTTTCCCTTTCAAAACCGGAGACACAGATTCAGTGTTTCATAATTTATTTTAGGTTTTAATGGAAAAAAAAAAAAAAGCCGGTGACTAGCAATATTTTTATACCACTGTTTTCCACTGTAAATTGCAAGTGAATTTCGTACAAATATCTAAAGATGAATCCTGGAAGTACTCGGCATTTGGGGGGAACCGACTTAAGGAAAGAGCCAACATAGAATTTTGTGATAAACCAATTTTTAAGGGCAGATGGAGAACCGTGTCCAGGGCCGGGCTCGGAAGGTCTGTTCCAACCACTCGCTCCTCCTTCAGTGGCTCTTATTTGGTTCAAGACCCAAACGCAACCATCTGTTCCATTATTTACGTAACTTGAAACCAAGCCTAATTCTTCATTCCTAGAATCTGCTCATTGCTTTGGGTGATCAGGCATCAGCCGATCACCTCCTTTTTTCCCCTCAGAAGTATTTTCAGATCTCACTTCCTGGCATTTTCTTTGCCAGCGACTTACAGGCATTCAGAATCTCAACAAAACAGACTACCTCAGCTTCTCTTTCACGTGAACAAAACTCAAATGTGAGGATACAAAAAATTGCTCTCGGGAAGCTAATCAAGTTTCCTAAAACAGGTCATGCCTTAAAATTTTTTTTTTCTTTTGGATCATTCCTTTTAGAAAAAAGAGCAAACATCCGATACTGGACTAATACAGAGGAGCAGCTCATTTTGAAACCAAGGTTCACAAAGTCAAGAGTGACCAGAAGCGGCTTCCCGATAACAAAACGTAATATAGTAGCCATCATGATTGTGCTCTGCAGCGATAGAGCACACACAGATTTTTCACATTAAGAAACTGGTATCCTAATTTTAGAGGCAGCCAGTTGTTTTTAAATGTTCTAAAACCACATGTATATATGAGGTATATGCATGTATTTTATACACAAAGATACATGAACATACATTCATGTATACATACAGATGCATATAAAACAGGAACTTCTTTTTAGTGTTTGGAATGAACAGGATTCCTGCAGCTAAATGGGTCTACAAAACGACTTCCGAGAAACCGGCCAGAACATCGATTCTGCTTTAGGGGAAATCTATTCCTGAGGAATAAGAAGTCGTGGACTTCCGAAGCTACCGCTAGGCCTATTGCGGGTCGTGGGCCGACACCAGCACCTAAGTGAATCCCAAGGAACTGCTGATTCATGGAGAACCTGGCCCATTTTCACTTTAAAGGTTTAAATAACTTAGCTCACTTCAAAGGTCACTCTTGATAGTCCCTGCTACTATTTACACGTAAAATAATTTTTCGCAATGAAGGAGAGTATGTAAGGAAGCCTGATAATATGGTTTCTCGAAGTACCAAGATTTTCTTCTTTCTCGGTCTCTTTCTTCTTTTCTTTTGGCCCCCTAACCGCACGTGCAGTACAACCGGCTTATTAACTGTTGGCGAACTTGCCAGCTTTCCGGGACGGTTCGTAGGGCACCCGGAGGATACTGGGCGTCTCCTCCATGACCCGTACGAGGAGGTTGTCAATGTAGTCCTCGAGTTCCCGGATGTGCGTGTCTTTCCTCCTAAGGAGCTCTTTGTGCTTCACCAGCTCCTGGAGAACCTCCTCGTAGGTAAGACCACGATACCCTGCAGTGGCATCAAAGGGGTTGCTGTCCTGGAACAGGAGACAGATGGTCATTTTAGTAGATAGAACATGGCGGGGGGGGGGGGGGGGGGGGGGGGGGGGGGGGGCGGCCAATTAAGAATTCTTTTGAACTTCAACCTTTGGTTTTTCAAACCCTCATCAAGTTTCTTCTGTGTCCTTGTCTAGAACCAGCCAGTCCTGAGGCAAGAACTAGGGCAGACGCACCAAAGCCTTGATTATAATTCTAAATCTTTCTAGAACCGTTTCTTACATTGCGGATGGCATCCTAATACATGAAATTGACCATACAATTTAGGATTACGACTTAAAATGCTCTCTAACAAATATAACTAAAATAGATAAAAACTGAAGATCTGTAAGATTTTACCTGGAAAAACTCAAAGTAGCTACGGGAAATTATGCATTTGCACAATAGCTGAACCCTCATGGAACGGCTTCTACTGAACTGTGGTTAATGTTAGGACTTTGGTTTCGAAAAGCAGCCCTATCAAATCTGCTTCAATTTTCTATAAAATGTTCGTCATTCAGAATTAAATTAATGAGCAGCCTTGTAAGAAGCCCCATGGGAGTAATTTCGTTTTAATTTAGAGGCAAAGGTTTTTTTCCACTCAGTAACTAGTCTATTTCCTCCTCCTAGGGCTACTACCCATGTAACTCATTTCCCTTTTTGCCCTGGCAATTAGGAAACTCACAGTTCAACTACAATTATGTTAACTGATACTTAGGATTAGTGTGTCTGCATTCTCTCATTCACTCACTCATTTTGCTAACCTTATCCTGTTGATGAATGTTCCTTTTTACACAAAAATAATATAAACAAAACAGAAAGAGATATTGATTTTATTTTTATTACAAAGCATTCTAATATTAAAAGAAAACTTTCTGTCAGAAATTTAATCAAAACAGCACTGGAACATTATATATAATATATAATGCCCAAATATAGATTTTTTATTATATATATATATATATAATGCATATATATATATTATATATATATAATGCCCGAAAATAAAGTGGCAACTTTTATGTCTTTTTATTCATAGTTCCATCCTTAATCAAGAACTTAAAAAAGGTTTTTATCACTTTCTTTCAAAACATTTCCATTTGGCTTTAAGGGGGAAAAAAACCCATAAAACTGAGGAAACGGGTCTCTTAAGGACTAACTGACCTAATCTATTCAGTGGAGGGTGGAGAATGGGATGAGCAGGTAAATGTAGAAAGGCCTTTTACTCTTTTTTTTTCATTGGGATAAATTGGTCTTTACTCCTTTTTCAGACCTACTTTAATTTGATATATGGCTGGTGCCCATCAGGAAAGTCAAAGTGTAACTTTTTGTCCCCTCCTCCCCCAGGCACCTTGACTTCGCCGTCCAGAGAAACACCTGAAGCACAGATACCAATTCGATGCTGAGGTTCACAAAGTCCCTGCCTTCTCAAGGATCAAGGAAGAATTCAGGACCAGACACTGGTCCAGCCCCGTGGAATCCCCCATGTCTTGTAGGGCAAATATAGCTCGCTCTAGGCCCTCAGAGACTCCGCCACGCAGAAATGGTATGGGGCACCTCCAGCAGTGGGCTCTGATCACTTAAAGGAGGAAACGTGATTCAAGGCACAAGGGTCCATAGTAGGTAATCGGTGGAGAATGGCTGGAAAATAAGGTTCAGGACAGGGCACAAAGAGGTAGGTTCCAACAGATGGTCAAGGATGTTGGATACTATTGTTAGGGACTTTGAGACTTATTGCAATGGGAAATAGGAAGCCATGGAAGGTTTCTAAACAGAGGCAGGATATGATTAAAGCAAAGTTCTAGGAAAATTAAAATGGCGGCCGTGGGGTAGGATCGTTTGGAGGAGCTGAGATTAGTTGTAAAGCTACTGAACGAAACATTAAAGACAAGTTAATAAAAGCCTCCACCAGATTAAGAGAATGAATAGAGGGGATGCTAACGGAAAAGTGAGCTTAAATTTCCTCAGATTATATTTAAAACAACTTCTTAGAAACTGGGAACAGACACAACTTTCTGAGTCATATTATTACCTCTGTCCCTAAAAAATATTTAAGAATATTACTTTACAACAACTCTGGAGAGAGAAGTGTTGGTTTACTTTTTATTCTCTTCTCTCTCAATCTTTTGTAATAATAAGAGTGTGCACACACACACTCACATGTTTACTAATTTACATAACTGGCCATGAGCAGTTTAGAGATCTAAAACTTATAAGTTCCTAACCACATTCTTGTTAAACATTTATTATATTAAGCAGATTTCTAAGGGAAAGAGAAGACACAGTAGTCGATAATGAGGTAAGTATATTTTTTAAATTTCTTAAAAATAAGCCCAACTTTCTTACTATAACCTAGGTAATTCTGCATAGATTTGAGATAGATACCGGCCTAGGCCTCACTTCCCTTATCTGATAAATGAGATGTTCTCCACGGTTCCTTTCAATTCTAAGATTTCCTGGTCTACAAAGCAATTTTTTTCTAAACTGCATTTTGAAAAAGTAGTAACATCCAACTCATGTGATTTCACTTATCTAATAAAACATTCACTGAAAAATAGAGTTCTTGTGCGAACTGCAGGGGTTAATGAAATCGCACTAAACGGGGTTCATTACTGACTAGTTGACTGTTTTATGTGTTTTCTTGGCTTAACATAATAACGGCATCAGCCTGAGCCTCTCTAATCTTAATCAAATTACACATATATGAATTGATTTCTCCAAACTAATTAAGTGACGATATACAGTTAGAAAATCATTTAGATGGTTCTATTTAACACCACACCAGGACTATTGGATAATGTCATGGAAAAAAAATTTTTTAACGTTTCTGTAAAGACACTGAGGACGAAGAACATGTCAAAAACCTGTTATTTTGACATGTCTAGTTTATATTAATGGCATGTGAATCAACCTAACAATTTAATCTCTCAAAATAATTACCATAAATACTGCTCAATGCTTTACAGCCATAATCTGGAGTAGAAAAGCCACTATTTGGCTTATTTTTCCCCTCACGACCATCTAATACTTTATACATAGACAGATTTCCTGGAAATAGATTTCTGACCTTCTCAATAAATTTTCCTTTTGTCCTTTTATGTGAAGATCCGCCCCCCCCAATTTCTGCATCAGGTTTCTAGGCAGGAAAACATCTTAGAAACACATGTACTATAAACTATATTCTGGAAAAGAATATACAGTAATTAAAAACAGTTTTGTGCTTAGTTCCAGGTTTCATCCCATATTTGAAAACCATTTAACCCTTCTAATTTTAGGCATAAGATGCTTCAACTGACGGGTCTATTCAATAAATGCGTATATATGTCTCCTTCTGTTTGTTGATACATTTCCCAATAAAATAAGACCGACTAACATTAATACAGGCAATAGGAAATGGAATAATTTTCTGGTTAAAAAAATTATTTTGCTTGAAGATGAAAACTCTCAGGCAAATATACAAATTAATTATTTTTCCAAAAGGTATTTCTAATACTGTTCTCAGAAGAACTTCTAAAACGGAGAAAACTCTAAACTGGTGGCGACTCAAATAACCTCCAGCAGGGCTCCTGAGTCCTAGGTATTTATTCTTCCAGCACTCTGTACAGACAGCACATATGTTTTTAAGATGTCTTCTTATATTGAAATTTAATGTAAATTTGTCTTCTCTCTTCCCCTTTCACGACCAATCCTTTGTCATCCCCAGGAACCTCAGCTAGAAATTTCCATATGCAGATATCAGAAAATGAGGATGGGGTGAGAGAACGGGGCGGAATCATTACGTGAAGTTTTCTAATCGGAATTTTAAAGAACACAGTGGTACAAAAGACTTTTGAGAATTACCAGGGATCTATTTTTGCTTACACACATAGCCTCGCCTTTTAAACCAGGAAATGTATATTTTTTGCAATATTGAAATTTAAACAAAAGCAAATTATCAGGACTCAAAATAACTGGAGATTTAAAGGGAGGTTGTCCTGGCAACCAAATATTGGTGGGGCACGAACTGCCGTCCCGGGCAGCTAGGGGAAAGAGAGAGAGATAAGATGAAGGCTTGGCATTCTCTGATCATCTCATTATTGTTCTAATGAGGAACTTTGCTCTGGGAATATCATCTCAGCTACTTTCACATCTTTTGTCCGACTGCCTTCATCTCCCTTTCAGTTCTTAATTAGGCCTTAAAGAGCTCGCACTGCCCTTTCAACTGGCTACTGCTCCTGTTTAAACACTGCGCTTTCAGACAGGTGTTGGCACCAGCATGGAAGACATACAAACTTAATTACAAAATACTAGGTCCAGAAGGGGAAAAAAAATAACTTGGTGGACGGCTATTATTGGAGAACTTAATGTAAATTACTTCAAACATCTTCTAATCTTCAACATAAAAATTGCTCAAACGCTTTTCCTCAATAACGATCAGCAGAAGGATGAGCTTTCTCCTCTTAATTGTATCCTGCGGTAAATTAACAACACCTAGTAATCCTTCAACTGTCATTTAGAATAGTTAGTATTCCAGAGAAAAATAATCACACATCAAGGATTCTTTTATCACCTTTAAATCCTTTAACTAAAACAATTTTCACGTTTTATTTCTTTAAAGAATTCTAAGGATGCTTTTACAGCAATAAATTACACGATTGGGAAAAGTACATTTACAAGCACATAGAAATTGTAATTAAGGTTACTTAATAAACAATAGCTGCACATTAAATCGATTTTTTGATGTTGCATTTTGTTTGAGATTAAGTAACCGCCTGATAGAATTCATTTTACTATCTGATCAAAGGCTGACTTCATATATTCTGACATTTCTCGCCAGACTGCCATATTATAAAGGCTTGAGTATTTATGAAACATCAAAACTTATAAATCATTTACATAAAACGGCAAAAACGCAGTACAAAGTCCTCTGCTCCTATAATGTTTTCTATAATTTTAAATACAAATAACTATATTCAGGATGGATCGTACACCACACCAGTTTCTTCTAGGCATATCACATCATAGGAAATTGTGATATGTTATTGCTTTAAAAATTCTTATTATACATCTGGATCACACACATTAAGGACAGATGGTTCAAACAGCAACCACTAGTCTCTTGGAATAAAGGCTCTATTTCTGTTATTCAATGGGAATTCAGTTTTCCACCAAGAACATGTGCCCATAGTTTCGTAAAGTAACTTAACTCTCTAGATTTTAACGCGTTTAGAATTGACTGAAGATGCAGCGTAACTCTGAACAGAGACCCAAACGTGGACTTCAAACAACAATAAAATGAAGTTGAGATACCTGACTGATCCTTGCAAAATAGGAGTTAATTTAGATGGTCGCCTCCAAGCCTGTTAATATATTTGGTTTTGTTCTAAGAAGGTAAGTGTCCTAAAGGTTCCTTCAAAGACTCTCCTGGGGATCTAGATCTCTTGCCAAGATGCTTTCCCTGTTGTTGAAAGTTAACAGGCCGTTTCATTCTTTCTTCCATCATTGTCGCAACAACAAAAAATGTTCATTTTTCCCCCACGCTCTTATTTCATAACTATAAAGTTGGCCTTGACATACGGCTTTCACATCAATTTTAAAAGTCTGTAAACAAAACGTGTGGATTCTAAATTAGCTTCATTCAAGTGTAACTGTAATATTGCTTGAATCTCTACAGATCATATGCTAGCGTATATTAAAGACTGAGCTTGAATTCTGCTTGTCTTCTTTCTCCCCAGATGACCACATTAAGCTATAAGCCAAAGGTAACTGAGGGGTTCAGCATGAAGGCCTTTGGAAACATGTGTGCCAGGCAGAAGGTCAGTTTGTGGTTTCTTTCCTGATGATGCACCAACCCCCCACCCCCTTGGCCACTTTCTCGGCCACTTACCGGGATTTTCCTGAGGTCCTCATTGCTTGTTGGATTCATATGAAAACTAAGTGACGAAAGACAAACATAAAGGTTAAAAGCGTATCACACAGTCCACAGTGGTTGAGGAAACAGAAAAACAGAACGTTTTTAACCCACACTGCAACAACAATTTCTAAAGTCCTAACTTACTTGGCCGAGTGAAACTTAATCCAGGATGGAGAAGAAAAACAGAATTTACTCAACATCCTAAAGTGTCTATACTTTTAAACTTTAAAGGAAAACCCTACAGTTATTATCACAACTGAAGAACTGTATATAAATATATAGTTTCTAAACATCTTTAAACATAAGCAATTTTGCCCAGCAAGACAGTTCATGAAACCGAATTTTATAACTTCTTCATTTTACACACATGCACTCACCTCAAGTCTTGTACTATTAACTACAGAGAATTCAAAAACTTTAGGTTGGAAAGACTGTAGAATACATGAGTTAAAACAATCTTTTAAAAAAATTATACAGGTATTAGAAAAGTTAACTTTTATGCACTATCTGTTCAATGAGAATGAATTCAGAGTCGTATGAATGATTTCCGTTGTTAATGTGATTTCTAAGCAACTGGTCTTCAAAATTTAAATACCCAAATGGACCCAAACAAAATGGGTTTCTTCCATGCAGGGAGTAAGGGAACTTCACAGCTGAATGCTATAATCATTTTCTTCTTTGAAACATGTCCATTAGGAAGGGGCTGTGACCAAAAAGAGGCTGAACTTCAAAGCCATCTGATGAGTAAATATTTCATCATTGCCATTCACGTTTAACTCTGACCCGGCACTTAAGAGTATTGGACATTGGAGCCTCTACAAAGCACTGCTGTCCTAGGAACCTTTTTATCCCCCTCCCCCAAACAAAAAGACTTAACTGTAAAATATACATTTTTTTTTCATTATCCGTGCTTTATCGGCCAAATAATTGGAATCCTTTGAAGAAATTCACTTTAAAAACTTTTGATGGTGTGCACGAAAAGTCTGGACACTGGATGTGATGTCTGGAAAATCCCTATTACTACAGGGGCGCAGCCCAAGCTGTCAATCTTCAGGGTCTCTGCGCACCCACCTGCCCGGGAGAACACCTCACACATCCCTCGTTTCATCTGTTAGGACTAAGGTTTGTAGGACAAGCTTCCAGAACTGATTGCTGACCTTCTCTAGCTAGAATTCCTATGGATAAGCTTTAGTATTTTAGTAGAGCCGGGGGCCATGGCAGGGAGGATTAAAACACGTTTTAAATACCTACAGAGGAACACGCCATCGACAGGCTGACACAGCTGAGCCATTCTCTCATTCCCTGTCTTTATGGTGTTCTGGATGGTTCCAGACTAGAAGAGCCAGTGTACCAGCAAAGCCTCAAGTGCCTGACAGAAGCACGGCTTCAGAGAAAATAACAAAAACTAAAATCCGGTATCATGAGGCACAGCTAGGCCTGGGGTGCCGCGGGGGCAGCTGCTGACGCGTGTGGTTCCCGTCCTCCCTGACTTTCGGTCCAAGGCGGTTCACCCCAGGGTCCAGTGGGACTCATCTGTCCCTGCCATTCGCTCACAGCAAGCCGTCTACAGGTCAAGGGACACATCCTGTCGCAAATCTCTCCATCCAACCGAGAGTCTCCAGGACAACGCGGCTCAGTCCGGGCTGCAGTTCACCACGGTGGTTAAAAGGGAGAAGTGACCTAGGGCCCTGGGGCCAAGCAGCGTCAACTCCAATCCCGAGTCTGCCCTAATCCTGCCCTGATTAAGTCACTTCCCTGGGTGTCGTCTGTAAAGTGGGGGTGGAGACGGCACGTGCACAGGAGACTAGTGTAAAGACGGAGCGAGTCAGCAACACGGAAAGCACTGAGCGCAGTGACTGACAGGTGTGGTCAGTGAATTATTTAGGAAACATTACACAGCACTGAGGCTGTGCCACAGACTATTCTAAGCACTTGACCGAAATGAACCCATTTAATCTCTACAGCCCATCAGATGGGGGTGATTTTCATTTTCAGAATAAGGACACGAGTCACAGAGAGATTAGGGAACTTGGGTGTGGTCCTCCAGCTGGTAAGGGGGGGCGGGGTGCTGGGCCCTAGAATGTGTTGGGTGTCTCGCAGTGACACAGAGCCCGGGCCCTGCTCTCTGCTCGGTGGACACTGGCGAAGCCCTGAACTCACAGGACAGGGAGGTTCCCCAGCAAGGAACCATCACCTCACTCTGCGTGGGCACTGGGCAGAGCTGCGGCTGGGGAGGTGGGGAGCACGCTCTTGGGAGTCTGATGTTTAGATCACATGGAGGGAGGAAATGACCCCCCTAGCAGTTAGCTAAGGAGGGCCAAAGTCAAGGAAAAAGTAGGATTCCAAATCAGGTGCGGGATAGGTCTGGCAGAGAAAGAGGGTTCTGGAGACAGGCGTCGTGCGGCCTGGGGCTGGGAGACAGCAGTGCCGTTGGGGGACACTACAGGGACCCGAACACAGGGCCGCGGTGGGAAGCAGCCCTTGAGGCTTTAGGTGCAGAAGAAGGGGCTCTTAGACCTGATCTGTAGAGCAACAGGCAGGTTTTCGACAATGTTAATTTTCTTTCATAAATGCTATTTAGACAACTCATGTTCAGCAGTATGGTGACAGCATCACCACAGATAAGGATTATGACCATACGAATCTCATCAACAACAGGACGCCCCTATTCTGTGTCTCGGGAAGAAATTCCTGAACTGAAAAAGAGAAATATAGGTGTTGTGCTTATTGTAATAAAGATTTTTTAGAAAACAGACCTTTAGGACACAGGTTTTACCAAACTCCCACAACCACCAATATGTAATGACTAACGGCGTTAGCCTACGGAACTAAAGTGAACCTCTATGCCAGCCTGAAAACTGCCTGGGAATTCTCAGGAGGGATTACATCACGATGTCGCAGACTGGAAGGGAAAATGGGGATCGTGTGCAGCATGCCAGCAGCCCCCAGGCCCCCCACTCTGGCCCAGGGCTGGGACTGTCCAGCGGCCCACAGCGCAGAGTGGAGGGGGAGAGGGCTCTTGCACGGCACATTGTCTGAAATCTAAAGGCACAGCCCCTCCCCTGTGGTTGGCTTTATTTTCACACACTTGACGTGTCAAACACATGACAAACTCAGTCATTCACGGCTGCCTTTTTTGATCTGTCCTTACGGGGGGGAGAAAAAGAGTTAACTGAACTGGATTGAATGAGCTTGGTGAAAAATAAAATGTCTCTATTTATCGAAGTGTGGCCCCAATTTGTGTTATCTTTCTCTTTGGACGGCTGTCCTCCGGTCAGACAAGATATCGAATAATACAGTCTGACTGCTCAGCTAAGCTGTTGAGAGGTTAGGGAAAACGGTGTGTTTTTAACCAGGTGTAGGATAAACTTAGACACGCTCCTACTGAAAACGTCTGTACAAATTTCAACTTACGATTAAAACACAATTTTAGAAAACCAAACTGAAGGAATTGGGGGGGTTTATAAAGAACTTTAAAGCAAATTTTAAACTGATGAAAATATTTTAAATTCATGTTTTCAAAGACATTTTAAGCCAAGGAAGTATTTTACTTAAACACGCTAGAGTTCTTACATAAAAGATTATTTTTTGCCTCGTGCTATTTCCCAGATTTTAACAAATTTTTCCAAGTAAACTCTACCTGACAACTTTGAAGTTAATAGTACTCAAATAGGTTTCAAGGCGCCATCAGTACCTCTTCTGTAACAGCACTTGTTAATGTATTTTGAAGTTAAAATAAATACTGAGTAAGAAAATAAGTAAACTGGTGAGAACTTGAAACTGTCCTAAAATATCTGGAGACTAGCCTTCCAGAGCTAAGCCAGAAAAGCCTACTGGTCTTTACAAGGTGATCAAACTGATCGCCGCACAAATCACTAAGCCACTGAGCAGTGATCATTTTCTTCTCTGTCCTTCATTTTCTCTAACAAACAACAATCTTTGGAGCAAGAATATCTACGAGAGGGTAGACACTATTGAGAGCGAAAATGTGTAAAGGGCTTGTTAAGAAAAAGAAAAAAAAAGAAGCAAAAAAACCCCACAGAAGAACAAAGATCTATTAAAACTGATTAACTGTCTTATTAGTGTAAGACAATGCAAACTGTGTAAATTCCCAGTTCTAGGATTTTAAATCTTTCAGTGACAAGTCACATAGCAACGCCTGAAGCTCTTTTGAAGGCATTTAAAAACAAGTATTATTATGTCTCCTATAATACCTCTTTCCAGGCCCCGTTACTTCTGAAATTATAAAGCTAAAGCCATTTTGGCCTGCCACCTGTGGTTTTTATTTATTAAAAAAAATTTTTTTAATGTGTTATTTATTTCTGAGAAAGAGACAGAGACAATGTGAGCAGGGGAGGGTCAGAGAGAGAGGAAGATACACAATCCGAAGCAGGCTCCAGGCTCTGAGCTGGCAGTCAGCACAGAGCAGGGCTGAGGGGCTCGATCCATGAGATCATGACCTGAGTCGAAGATGGATGCTCAACTGACTGAGCCACCCAGGTGCCCCCTGTGTCTTTAGTAAGTGAATTCAAGTCACCTGCAAAACCCAGGAGGTAGGCGACCCACCTAGCTGGAAAGGGGGCAAAGAAGGAAGGGAGGGCGGTATTCTGACAGCATTTTCAAAGGATACTATCCTACCGATCTTCTTGTTTAACTGTGAGAGTAGCGACTGGACCCCCAGGGCTTCACCTTGGTGGCAAATGTAGTTAGGAGAGGAGTATGTCCTAAGAATTACACGTGACCTGACACTTGAAAAGAGGAAAAAAAAATACTCCATTTACAGTGAAGCAAAGGCAAGGGATAAGGTAAGCCTTATGACAAGTGATACTTAAAAAAATGTATATTTTTTAATGTTTATTTGTTTTCAGAGAAAGAGCAAGCGCGCATGGGGTAGGGGCAGAGAGAGGGAGAGAGAGAGAATCCCAAGCAGGCTCCACACTGTCAGCACAGAGCCTGACTCAGGAACTATGAGATCATGACCTGAGCTGAAATCAAGAGTGGGACACTTACCCAACTGAG